TGGGGTGACACATCAGAGGGCTACTTTCTCCTTACATATGTTCATTCTCTCAACAGACGAATGAAGTACGGGAAAGAAAAATCCATTAAGTTTGCCTCAAAATATAGCTGCAACAGTTAGCAGAAACCAAAATGCACTTCATATTTACTTTTGCCAAGATGGTCACAAAAGAGTTATATTATATAATCTGATACAAAGTAATTCATTAAGTACATTGTGTGTAAGCGAAAAAGTGGATAGGAAGGAGAAATTTCCAGCCAGTCCCCGAGTTGCGAACGATCAACTTACGGTTCACAGTTACGACCAAAACTGTTGTAAATGGCAGACCCCGAGTTACGAACGCGAACCACGTTTATGAACAGAGTGGTCGCATGTAACTCAATGGGGTCCGACTTATGAACAAACCAAGTTACGACCAATTGCTTGGTCCGTAACTGGTTGGTAAGTTGGAGAGAGGCTGTATTTCAAATTTCAAGCACTCAGGGTATGTCTACACTACAAAAAAATTTGTTTTCAGAAAAATTGAACTTTTTTCAGCATTGGTAATCCTCATTCTAGGAGGAAGAAGTCTTTTTCTGAAAGAGCTCTTTTGGAAAAAGGCATTTGTGGACGGGGAAGAGGGAGTTCTTTCGAAAGAAGAGGAAAAAGAAAAAAGCACAGGTGCCCTAGTGGCCACTCTGTCCACAGTAATCACAGTTTAAATGCGAGATAGCGTCCATTCAGCGTGGACACTATCTTTCAAAAAAGCAGATCACTTTTTTGATGCACTTTTGCTGTGTGGACACTCTCTTTCAGAAGAAGTTTTTTCAGAAGATCTCTTCCAGAAAAGCTTCTTCCGAAAGAAGCCTATAGACAAGAGCTACAGCCCAAGAATCCAACTGGAAATATATTTCTATTTATTTTAAAGTCTAAAAAATTTCAACAAGATTTACCCTCTGCTAAATATGATCCAAGAAAGGATGGATAAAAGTTTCCTAAACTTCACAGATTCCTCTTCAAACTATAAAACTATTTTTAATCACTTTCAATTATAAATATAAGCTTAATATTTATATAACTGGTGTAATAAAATTACACACACAAACAGCACAAATTGCTACAAATAAAACTGTTTTGTTTTTACAACAGACACAAAAGCACATCACTTATGAGTAATTCATAACAAATAAACAATGACGCCCAACCAATGCAGTGTGATGAGCTACTATTTAAAAGAAATTAAATGCACCATAGCTAATTTCCCTCCTGACACCTCCTTCTCCTCCACATCCTCAAGTGAGATTTCTACAGATTCTGGAAGGAGCTCCACTTTAAGAATATTCTGAAAAATAATCATGAGCGTATTATTGGAAAATCATAACACATGGTGGATTTCTGAGATGGTCCAATCCAAAGGTACCTGTAGAACAGCCAGAGCAGTCATCTGGCAGCAACATGTCAATGGAAAAGCTTGAGTTCTCACAACAGATCCAAAGAATTGAGGAAGTCTATATGAGTACTATGACAAAAGCGCAAGCTGATGACTAACATGCTCAGATCATAATTTGGGAGGTGGTAGAAGGAAGAAGGATCTGGATATGGGATGAGAAGTGAGATAAAGAAAACAGAGTTAAAAACTACTGCTCTAAAAGTCTCCTCCCTTCACTTTGTTTCCTGGAGGAACCTCACACAGTGTGGTATTTCACTTAGAATGTACACCCCTTTAAATTCTGATTACAAGACATTCCATTATCACAGAGAGGATTTAGACAAACCAGTAAAATGTTTCAGAGCCTACATCTTTGGATGTAAAGAATTCAAATTTGGAAGCATCCCACATTCCAAAGCTCCATTCTCTAACATTCTGACAGATACGCCAGCCATATCAGAACCACCACCTCCAATGCCTTCACAGCAAAACTAGCTAAGTGGAGTTCTAGCTGCTCTCTACTTGAAATGCATTATTGACCGTACTCAATGATTTAATATAATTCCTCAAAATACAGGCAGTCCCCGGGTTACGTACAAGATAGGGACTGTAGGTTTGTTCTTAAGTTGAATTTGTATGTAAGTCGGAACTGGCGTCCAGATTCAGCCGCTGCTGAAACTGACCAGCAAAACTAGCTAAGTGGAGTTCTAGCTGCTCTCTACTTGAAATGCATTATTGACCGTACTCAATGATTTAATATAATTCCTCAAAATACAGGCAGTCCCCGGGTTACGTACAAGATAGGGACTGTAGGTTTGTTCTTAAGTTGAATTTGTATGTAAGTCGGAACTGGCGTCCAGATTCAGCCGCTGCTGAAACTGACCAGCGACTGACTAAAGGAAGCCCGAGGCAGAGTTGCTCTGCCCCGGGCTTCCTGGAATCAGCCGCTGATCAGTTTC